CTCAACACATACACACACTCAACACCCTCAACACACACACACACACACACCCAACACACACACTCAACACACACACACACACACACACTCAACACACACACCCTCAACACACACACACACACACACTCAGCACACACACTCAACACACACACTCAACACATACACACACTCAACACCCTCAACACACACACACACACACACCCAACACACACACTCAACACACACACCCTCAACACACACACACACACACACACACACACCCTCAACACACACACACACACACACACACACACACTCAACACACACACCCTCAACACACACACACACACACACACACACACTCAACACACACACACACCCGTCTGATCATTTTATTAAGTGAAGATGTGCTGATGTGATTTTATTCGCCCCTAATAAACTCTCTGATTTAGAGACAGTGATTAAATATCAGTATTAAAATGATTAGAATAAATAATTGTTAATTAGTGAAGAAAATAAAGGTGATCAATATTATTATTTACAAATAGAGAGAAATTCGAAAGTAATTTTAATAAACTGATCGAAACTTTGAATCTACTGGTTCGGCACATTTCAGCCTGCAGGTGGCGCTAAAACACCTTCAGCTTTCGGTAAAAGTGAAATTAAAGTCCTGTTTAAACACACGAGCTCATTTATAACGGAACATAATTCAGTCAAATCTAAAATAAACAAGAATAATTATTTAATAATAAAAGTTGTTTAATAAAATAATTTTTAAATAAACAGTTAACGCATTATAACACACTGCACTCTACATTAATACAGTATTAATAATGACAGCAAACAGTCTAGAATAAACTTTAATTTAATTTACACATACTACATGGAATGACAACACATTAAGAATTATACTAACATGTATATGTAATGCTGTGAAAAAGTATTTGCCCCTTGCCAATTTCTTCTATTTTTGCATATTAGTCACACTTGCATGATGATTTCATTTATTGAAGGAAAACTGCTGTTCAGCCCTACCTGACCCAGTGTGAAAAAGTAATTGTCCCCTACTAAATTAACCAGTTAACCAAATACAGTTAGACTACTAGGTTCAATTTCACTGACCACACCCAGACATGACCTGCTCAATCCAAACATCATTTAAACAGAGCCTGTCTGTCAGTGTGAAGCAGCTAGAAGGTCTAGAGAAACAACACATGATGTCACGTTCTAAAGAGATTCAAATACAGATGCAGAACAAAGTAACAGAAATCTACCTGGAAAGGGTTACAGAGCCACTGCTGAGGATCTGATACACAGGAAAACCACAGTGAGAGCCGTTATCCACAAATGGAGGAACCTTGGTACATTGGAGAACCTTCCCAGGAGAGGAAAGTCTACCAAAATTTCACCAAGAGCGCATTGAGGAGGTCACAAAAGAACCCAGAGGAACATTTAAAGAGCTGCAGGCCTAACCTACCTCAGTTAAGGTCAGTATACACAAATCCACAATCATGAAGTTCAAAGAGCAGTTCAGACTTGAAAACCCTCCAATCTAGCTGAATTAAGTGGACCAAACTCCTCCACAGTGATGAGGAGACTCATCACAAGTTTTCACAAACGTTTAATTGCAGCTGTTACTGCTGAGGTGACACACCTAGTGATTAGGTTTGGGGTTGATAACTTTTTCACATTAGTGATGTAGGTTTTAAATAAATCTTTATCTTCAGTAAATTAAATGATCATTTAAAAGCTGTATTATGTGTTTATTCATGTTATATTTAAATGTGTGTGTGTGTGTGTGTGTGTGTGCATAAGTGTGTGTGTGTGTGTGTGTGTGTGTGTGTGTGTGTGTGTGTGAAGTAAATGCTCATATTCGTGTATATAAAGTAACCAGAGCTACTCGTTTTAAATCATTGAGATCTTTCGAGCTGGTCAGATGGACACAGGGTTGGTTCTCAGGATACCACACGGATTATTCCGTCAGTCCATCAGCAGCTCCTGATTTAGATTAATAGAGTATTGATCAGATAAAGCAGGTATTGGGTGACAACTGTAAATATGGGTCTTCCTCAAATTTATTATGTTTTTTTAATATCATCTTGTCAGGAGTCTCAGACACACCTCCAAAGTTCAGTCTTAGAAGCTGGTTGATCATTTTCTGAAGTAATCAAACACATTCAGTGGTGTTGAGGTCTGGACTCTGGGGTGGTCAGTCCATTGTTCATCTTCTTTGTTTGATGTGTCCGTCTCCTTTTCTCAGTGAGGTTCTTCTTGACAGCTACACATCCTTTCAGACCCACAGCGCTGAGTCGTCTTCTCACAGTGGAAGGATGGACAGAAACACCTGTGGATGTTTTCAGATCTGAAGCAGCTTGATTTTCTCCTCTCTCTCAGAGATGAAAGCTTTAAGTGCTGTTTATCTGATGGGGGCAGTTTCGGGGTCTAACAGCTCTTCCAGGTGGTTGTTAGGAGGAACATTTTTTCTGGAGTTTTTTATCAGTTTTTATTCTCAGAAATTTCTCCAGGAAATGAACAACTTTAATTGTTTTTTATTTTTTTACTGGAAATTCAATAACAGTCATTTTCATTCAGGACTTTTAAACTGTCTGTTTCTCATTAAACGTTAATTAGTGGACTGTCTGTCCTTGCTCATGCATATCAGCCAATCAGTGGTGTGGCGAGGAAGGGGGCGGAGTCTAAACAGCCTCTGTTCGGACAGTTTAAGGTCCTGATATTAAACGGTAAAGTCACTGTGTTTTGTAAGCTGTTGATTTGAAACTCAAAAAGGCCTGTTTGGGGAGGGCGTGCGTGCGCGAGACCGTGCCCGGCGCGCGCAGGTCGGTCAGGGGAAGCGGGTGCACGCGCACTAGCTCGAGGCTGCCCAACAGGTGTCTGTTTGTAGTTAGCTCCGGTCCGGCAGCGGGTCAGCGGGGCGCTGTGGGAGCTGTATCCGGCCTCGGAGCTACGCAGGCCGCGCAACTTCACTGAAGAGCCCCGGCAGGTTTACGCGGTCAGTTCGGTTTGCTGTTTGCGTGGTCAGCGGTGACCATGCCGGTCAGAAACGGTTCCATGATGGACGTGCTCGCGGAATATGTGAAGATCAAGGCTCATTATGGAGGGTAAGTCCATCCCCTAACTTCCTGACGAGGCTGAAGTTGGCTTCTCTTTGGAATCGTCCGTTCCACCTTAAACGGTGCAGCCAACTTCAGCCTCGTAGCTTCATTTTCCGAACTGCTGACCTCTCTGACCACAGCTTAGACTCTCAGTAAGCGGTCTGGACCGTCTGCCGTCTGTATAAACATCTCAAACAACCGCCAACGCCCACTTCGCCCTCTCAGTGGAGCTGGTTCTGACCCGGAGAGCCGGGCAGTGATGGCGGAGCGTTTATGGACGGCTGTGTTTAATACTTACCCGGTTACTCTGACAGGATCCTCCTCAACGCTCACTTCCTCCCAATTTAGAAAAGCTGCTCTTTTCTCTCCTTAACTTACACCTGTGAACCTGTTCCGTTACCCTTCACTATACTGACAGCATTAGAACGTTAGAACATTAGAACATTGGGCCTGATTAATGACACAGAATGTGTGAAAGTCCCTGAGAGGGTTGCCAGGTCATTCTTTAACACGCAGACTTTATCCTGTAGTGAACTGAATTGCTTTCCTGGAGTCGCTAATTAAGCTGTTTGTTATTGTGTTCCCTGCTGAAGGAACCCATAGAACCCATTAAGTGAGTCTGTTGGTTCCTGATGGTTCTGTAATGTGTTTGGTCTTTTTTAATGTGTTGATTTCACAGTGTAAAGGACTCTAATGGTTTAACAGGCGACCAGTGGATGATTCCAAATGCATTTGATGGTTTTCTAATGGGAACTAAAGGTGTCCTACAGGAAACTAGTGGTCTCTGTTGAAAACTATTAAGCCAATTTCCATTACAAAGCAAAAACCACGATTTTAATCCTAATGGTTTCTAATAGTCCTTCTTCAGCAGGGATGGTGGTGCTTAAAGGGCCACATGGTGGGAAACTGAGGTTTTTTCTGTTTGTTCAGATTAAAGATTAAAGTGTAAATATGGGGCTGAAAGATTCATCAGAGCTGCACATTTATAAAAAGTATTATCTACATCATCAACAACACTGTCACACGTTTGAAATGGAGAAATTTAACCTGTAGATGAGTTAGACCAATCAGACACAGCCAAACCCCCATGCGTTGTGACATCACAACCACAACGTACTGGCAGTCTGGCTCACTGCATTCAGGGGTCGGTCCTCAAACTAGAAAAAGCTGATATTCTGATATTCTTGGCCAATAGACAAATGTTTAGAAAATAATCGCAACTTAATTCGCATTGTTAGTCAGAGAAATCGCAGTTAGGAATATGCAATTTTTGAATTTGCAGTGTTTCGTAAAACCAACACGTTTGAAAATATTTGCCCACAGTTAAGCCCCGCCCACTTAGCCTACAGCAGTTTAGCCCCGCCCACTCAACCTACAACTGTTTCGTCCCGCCCACTTAGCCTACAGCAGTTTAGCCCCGCCCACTCAACCTACAACTGTTTCGCCCCGCCCACTCAGCCTACAGCAGTTTAGCCCCGCCCACTCAACCTACAACTGTTTCGCCCCGCCCACTTAGCCTACAGCAGTTTAGCCCCGCCCATTCATTTGACTCAGAGCGCAGGCCGCCCTGCTTTTACTAAATGATCAGAGAGAAATTACACATCAAGCTCTGTAAAATTTTGGGTTCTCTGCACAAATGAAGGTTGTCTGCTGTAACTGAAGGTTCTTCTCTGCTGTAAATAAAAGGTTTTCTGTAGTAAATGAAGGTTCTTTTCTGCTGTAACTGAAGGGTCTCTGTAGTATCTAAAGGTTCTACTCTGCTTTAACTGCAGGTTCTATTGTGCTGTAACTGAAGGTTCTCTGTATGAGTTCTCTGGTGTCTTCTGTTCGTGTTGGTTGTTTTAACTTTATTGTTTAGTTTAGTTTGTGGGCTGTAAGGTTCTGTTGTTTTCGGTCCAGCGGGCCGCTGTGCTGTGAGGTGGCCGCACCTTTGGTCAACAGTCACACAGTCACAGTTACACAGCTTATGAAGTGACCTGAGCTGGAGTCGTGATAAGAGTGACCCAGACCGGGACGCTCTGTGACACTTTCACACCTCAGCCACAGTAATGATGTTTAACAATTTATGAAATATAGATTAATTAGTGAGGATTAGTGATTAATCAGTGATAATCAGTGATGATCAGTGATGATTAGTGCGCTGGTGAATGCTTTGTGAAGCCCTCAGTAGGTCGGTGTTGCTCTGCAGATGGAGGAGCATCAAAAAAGTCTTTAAATGATTAAAACTGACACAGATTATTCGTTTACAGAACCCTCAGAACATCAGGACTGAAACCTGGACTGATCTGTTGTGTCTTAATCATTATCGTGAGTACCGAAAATCACTGACCAATCACAGCGTAGTTTACCGTGTACTGTGATCATTCTGACCAATCAGAGCAGATCGTTGTGGTTATAATACTGAGATCTTTAATCGCGCTGCATTATTGAATACAGATCAGATCCTGATGGTGTTGATCAGACGGATCGCAGAGCTGGAGTTTGTTATTGTGCTGCTGCTCTTCATCCTCGTCACATCAGACCGACAGCAGCATCAGCTCAGTCAGCTCACAGGAGAGTCTCAGTTAATCACCTCTCAGATTCTCACATTCGGCCCCTGAGGGCCACAGCACCGCCTCCGCACCTGAACCTCACTCACCTGACTCGCCTCACTCACCTGAACCTTCCTCACAAAGCCGGGAATGATGACGATATATATTGTTATCATGATAAATAAAGTCACAACACGGTACAGTGTGTGTTTAACATGATCAGCTGCCTGATTCATTAAAAAGAGAGTAAAATTAGTCCGTTGGACTGGATTTAGTGACAGATACTGAATAAAGATCACTGTGATGAGTTTGTTTGTTCATTAATTAATTTAAATTTAAACAGAAGAATCTCTCCGCTCAGAGTTTGAGTGTGTGTGTGTGTGTGTGTGTGTGTGTGTGTGTGTGTGTGTGTGTGTGTGTGTTCATCCGCTCTGATGGTGATCCCCCCAACGCCCCCTCCCACCCCCAGCCCGCTCTATAAATATTTCCAGCTCAGGTCGGCAACACCGTCTCGCCCACACTGTAAGCCTGTCAGTTGCCTAGCAACCAGCCCTGATCCTCCATAACAACTCACTGTTTTTTAATGGAGATCCGAGAGAGAGAGAGAGAGAGAGGAAGAGAGATGAGCAAATACCGTAAGAAAGAGTTTGACGCTGGGATAAGCTGGAAAAGTAAGAATATCGCTACAGCCGAAATGTGAAACAGTGTGACGGAAAAGGGTTTTAGAATAAATATTTACGTTTCGAGCCGTCAGTGAGAAGCAATTGGCCGTACAGACGGTCCAATCACAGCACAGAGCTTTTCCAGCATCACTTCTCCTCGTTCTGAAACGCTGATCGAAGCTGGTTTGAAAACGTCTCTAACTATGAGCTCCAGAGCCGTCTGGTATGTTTGGTTCCCAGATGTGAGGTGGGCGTCGTCGGGGGGGCACTGAGATCTCAGCCCTCATTAGACAGCCACTGTTCATCCTGCTCAGCATCTCTGAGCTGCGAACAATCATGAAAAGATGGCAAATGGCCGTAAAGATGATTCTACTGAAGCAGAACCAGTTAAATCCCCCATCTCGCTGGTTTTGATGCTCCGGATCACAGAACTGCAGTGCATTTAAAAGCTTATCAGCAGTTTCGTTTGAAGCTTTTTGGTCCGCAGCTCCTGTGACGTTTCGGTGTGACGCTGTGTTTCCTGCTGTTGTCGGTCTGTTTTGAATTTCTTCAGCTCCTGAACTCTGATTGGTTAGTCTGTACATCAGTCAAACGGCCCTTTCCTGTTAAAGTTGGTGGTTCTTGGATTTGTTAAAATGCTCTGACGACAGACGACACTAATCTGATCATAACCGCCTTCAGCGGTTCTTCTAAATCCAGAGAACAGAGGCTCTGTTAGCCGGTCAGACGTGCTGGTTAGCGGAGTTTGTGACGTGCTTTGGAGTTTTAGGTATTTGATGTCAGTTAGGGGTTTGATTGACAGCTGCAGCAAAGTTCTGAGTAATTAACAGATGTGTTTGCGCTTAGTTACAGTTGCTAAGCTACGATTGGACAGTCAGTATTTTGGGAGGCCAGCTGGGTATTAAAGTGTGACTGGTATCTGGATGTTGACTGGACATGCATAGCCGTGTTAATGTTCTGAGTGTGTTTGGTTCCGTCTGATCTCGGTGATCAGATCTGTGTGTCCATCTCCACTACGTTCACCGTTTACCGTCACGTTCAGCGTTCAGCATTATCGCCTCCCTAATCGGACGCTGTTTTTAGTTGTAAGCTCACTCTTGTGGAGACGGAGGTTAAAAGGTGGTCTGCTGTGTGAAGGACGCTGCGCTGATCTCCCTCCACATTATGATCCATATTAATATTCAAACTGCGCTTCAGCAAAATGAACATAACTGTCTTTCCCTTTTTTGCAGTTTGGTACGACAACAATTCCGACTTCATTCCAACACAAATGCAGATTTGAAAATGCTGATTAAACTGTGTGTTTACAGTTTCTAAGTGTGTGTGTGTTTTATTTAAGACATGATTCAGATTCGGATTGTGTGTTTGTGTTTCTGTGTAACGGCTCTTAAAGTTAATGTTCTGACATCAAACTCAGAGTAAACGTCGCTCATTGTGGTCGTGTTTCCTCATGGTGGCGCTGCAGCTCTGCCAGGATTACCGTGTTTTATAACTCTGATTGCAGTTGCATTTTCACTGTCAGTGAGGCTTCCTGTTTGAAGAGGAAGTGACGAAACGTCGTAACTCTCGTGGTTCTGGAGCGTCAGCAGTGACGCTTTAACACTCTCTAACAGAACCAGGCCGAGGAGAATCTGGTCCAGAGGGATTTTCTTGTGGAAGTGATTCCTGAGCGACTGGGAGAGTTTAAAGCTGCACAGACACTAATGTTAGTGACGCTGTGAGCAGCTTCAGGCAGAAACTTGCTGGACGGTCCGAGAAACACTGTCCTGCACGTTTTAGTGCTTTTCCTATTTTAACATGTTCCAAACGCTCAATGAGCTCAGTCAGTGACCCAGTTTAGCATCTTATTGTAAGATCATCAGCAATTTAGACTCATCTCTTCCTCTTAAAACACTCCTGACACCCCACCCACAGCGTTTGATTTGACAGGAAGCCTCACTGACGGTGAAAACGCAACTACATTCAGGGTTACATACATGCTAGTTCTGGAAGAGCTGCAGCGCCACCATGAGGGAACACAATCTCAAGGAGCCGATTCACAGAAACACGAACAGATACACAATCTGAATCTGAATCTGAATCATGACTTAAAGGAAAAATATATTTCCTTCTGTTGTCAGTGGATGATGATCAGATGTTAAGTGTAAACAGGGAGTGATCCGGTTCACTGCAGCGCCACCTGCTGCAGCTCTAGTTTCTTTAATGCTAAACTGTGTTTGGAGTTTAAAGCAGCTGAATTTATACTGAATTTATATTTGTGTGTCTGTTTTTCTCTAAATGTCTTAAAGTTTATTTTCAGAGACCTCCAGGATTTGGATTTCCTGACTTTCAGTGAGCCTGAAGGGTTAGTTTGGGGGTTCCGGACCCCCAGAACGCCCTGTATTTCACTCTTTAGTCTGGTCCTGCAGTGTGGTGTGTGAGGTATTGTATGCTGTTAGGGCTGTAGTGCTGCTCAGACAGGCGGGTGAAGCTGTGTTTCTGTTGAGTTCAGCGCTGTTTAAATTGTGTTAGTCATTATTTGTCGTTCGTCTTGTGACCTGCAGTCCAGTCCAGTTCAGTTCAGTGCAGTCCAGTGTGTTTTTAAGAAAGACGTTTGTTTGACGCGGCGTCAGTGGCCGACGTCTCTGTTACTTCACAAATTTAAACTGCAAGGAGTCGTTTCCTCAGGGTGAGAGAAAGTATGATGATTATGGAGATTGAGTGTTCATCAGCAATGGCCGGTTAATATCTGGACACCAGCAGCCCTGTGGTCACAAACTGACCAGTGATGAATGCTGTAGAGGACAGCAACTGACGGACTGCAGTCTGTAACTGAACACCTACACAGAGAAGAAATATGGTGGGTATTTCTAATAAAGTGGCCAGTTAGTGGAAGCACAAGGTGGGTGTTTCTAATAAAGTGGCCAGTTAGTGGAAGCACAAGGTGGGAGTTTCTAATAAAGTGGCCAGTTAGTGGAAGCACAAGGTGGGAGTTTCTAATAAAGTGGCCAGTTAGTGGAAGCACAAGGTGGGTGTTTCTAATAAAGTGGCCAGTTAGTGGAAGCACAAGGTGGGTGTTTCTAATAAAGTGGCCAATTAGTGGAAGCACAAGGTGGGTGTTTCTAATAAAGTGGCCAGTTAGTGGAAGCGCCAGGTGGGTGTTTCTAATAAAGTGGCCAGTTAGTGGAAGCGCAAGATGGGTGTTTCTAATAAAGTGGCCAGTTAGTGGAAGCGCAAGATGGGTGTTTCTAATAAAGTGGCCAGTTAGTGGAAGCACAAGGTGGATGTTTCTAATAAAGTGGCCAGTTAGTGGAAGCACAAGGTGGGTGTTTCCTATAAAATGGCCAGTGAGTGGAAGCACAAGGTGGGTGTTTCCTATAAAGTGGCCAGTGAGTGGAAGCACAAGGTGGGTGTTTCCTATAAAGTGGCCAGTGAGTGGAAGCACAAGGTGGGTGTTTCCTATAAAGTGGCCAGTGAGTGTATGTGTTGTTTGTTTTTTCCAGTTAAAGTATAAAATGCTCAGAATCAGTGAAGTTGCTATAAAGTGTTCTTCAGACTGTAAAGGTGTTCAGAGTTACCGTAAGTGTTATTTTCACTCGTGCAGTTACACACTGAACACTCAACAGCACTGAAACGCTGTGAAATGATAAGTGAGGCTATAAATACTTTGCAAATTCCTTGTTTGCATGTGGCCATTGCAGCCCGCAGTGACAGGGCTGAAGTCTGTAATGCTGGTTTCGCTCTGTGGACTTTCAGCCTCATTAACTCACAGCACAGAGATACGGTTACACACACAACAGACTTTACAGAGAAACTCATAAGTGTTTAACACAGTAAAACACAACAAGTATTACAGTGATTCTCTCGAATCAGCAATTACAGGTTTGTACTGAAATTATAGAAAATACAAAATAATCTTATTTAATTCAGTTACTAATAAACATGCTCCCCATAAATACTGTCGAGTTAATCTAAAGACAGAACCCCGGTTCTCTACGGGTTCAGACAGATGAGGAATGAGTGCTCACTGCTCACACATGGTCGAGAAATCAGCTACTGTCTTCGGGTCGGTGGTGAGGTCTTTAAATGGCTCTAGTTCTTCCTCTTTTCCCCAAAACTCACATTTAGATACAAACTCATTTACAATAAACAGAAAATCTTGACTCTTTTGGTAGACCCTTTGCTGTAGCTGGTCACCTTTATGATAATTAAACTGGGCAATATGACGATATTTTATTATGATATTTTTATTTACGCTTTTCTAAGCATATCGTGGATATCATCAGCCCTCAAACACTGACCAGCCTCATGTTTCATTTCACAGATCATTGTACTCAGATGTTGAAAGTCTTTTTTTATCGTTGCAGCAGTGTTTTTTTAGTTCTATGTTATCAAACCTCAGAAAAACTAAGTATTGTGATGCATATTGCGTATCTTGAAAATGTTTTCAATTATCATGATGATCTATTTTTGCCGTATCGTCCACCCCTAGTGGGCCAAATACTCTGAATGCTCCTTCTGAGATGGACAGAAGTCCTCGGCCTCAGACCGGCGATATCAGGCCTGGTGCATTCTCACGGAAACACTTTAAATCTTTAGATGTCTTTTAAAGCTTCGACTCATGTTGATGATAAAATCTGTTCTTCCAGGCGGATTTTTTTTCAGATTTGGCAGATTTTTTTGAACGGCTGCGACTGTTTTAGTTAAACTTTAACACACATTCTTAATCTAACCTTAGACTCAGGACACTTTCCTGAAGTTTAGAAAGCTGCTGTTTATTCCCACTTCATTACGGCGGAGGCGCTACTGATTTAAACAGTTATGGACCATTTTCTAAACTTTCTTGCTTAGCTGAGATTTTAGAATCACTGATAAATGACCAGCTGAGCTCCTTATATCCCTCAACTGTGTGTTAAAACCAGTTGAGTCTGTTTTTAGACCTGGACATTCTCTCTTCCCTGGATAGTAGAAGTAGCTCTGCTGCTTTATTTATTGATTAGATAAGATATTGAAAGAATTCAAGACTGTAGGTCAGTGGTCTCCAGCCCTAGTCCTGCAGAGTTTACCTACCTGTGTCCAATAAGCTGTCCCACCTCCTTACCGAACTCTAATACATCTGATCCAGCTAATCAGGGACTTGAGAAGAGGTTGCCTGGCTGGAGCAGGTGCGGTGAATTGTGGTTTGAACCAGGCTTGGCTGGAAGGGACTCTGCAGAACCAGGATTGGAGAACTGCAGTGGATCATCAGTGCTGAAACTGTCCAGGATCGTTTTAGATGAAGGAGCATGTAAATGGTTTATAACTGTGTTTCAGACAGAACTCAGAGTGGTGTTGTGGAAGATTTCAGGTCTCTGTTCAGGTCTCAGTTCTTAGGAAGTACTAAAGGAGCACCTCAGGGGTCTGTTCTAGAAACCCTATGGTTTATTTTATACATAAATAATATTGGAAACTGTTTGGTTTATTGTAAAATGAATCTATATGCTGATGAGCGCTCAGGTCTCAGTATAGGTTCCCTCTAAACACACACACACACACACACACACATATATATATATATGTATATATATATATATATGTATATATATATATATACACACATATATATGGTTTGGGCTGGGGTGTGGGGCGTGGGGGTTCTAGGTTGGGGAATTAAGTTTTCCACTGAACTGAGGCTTTAAAGAGGAGCTGAAACTGACCCCAGGTCAGGAGGAAGTGACTTGTGTGCTGTTACAGAGACATGCTGATCTCAGATCTGGACTCCGGCCTGACGTTCTCCGAGCTGTGTGAGGAGGTCAGGGAGATGTGCGGAGTCCGCAGGGAGCTGCCAATCACGCTGAAATGGATCGATGATGAAGGTACCCATGATCCTCTGTGCTTTCCTCAGCATCCACCGAAATGTTTAATTGAGGATTAAAGGAGAAATCCGTTTGGGATCCATAATCTGAGATTCCCGACTGTAAACTCCGTCATAACATCTTCACCAAAACAAACACCAGATTAGCAGTTTATTAGTTCAGCTGCTGAGGAATCTGTAACAGTCATTAATTCAGAGCTTTTAAACACAGTTTAAACTGAATGTGTTTGTTTGTTTGTTTGTTTGTCTGCAGGTGACCCGTGCACCATTTCCTCTCAGATGGAGCTGGACGAGGCGTTTCGGATTTACAGCAGAAACAAGCGCTCTGGACTCCTGCTCCATGGTAATGACCCTCTCATTACAGACCCAGTTAATTTATTTTTATTATTATTATTATTGTTATTATTAGTTGTAGTATTATTATGATTGACCCTCAGAGATTATCAACAGTAATAAGAAAACCAAGTCTCTGCTTTACAATCACTAATACTGAAGGTTTACTGTCCTCTCTCTTGCTCTCTCTCTCTCTCTCTCTCTCTTTCTTTCTTTCTTTCTCTCTCTCTCTCCCTCGCTCTCTCTCTCAGTATTCCCAAGTATTCCTGAGAAACCTGGAATGCCATGTCCAGGAGAGGACAGTGAGTGTTTTTTCTCTTTTGCTGCTTTCTGTTCTCCTGAATACTGACAGACCAGCATAACAGCACAAGGAGAGAGAGACAGAGTGGTCAGTAGTAGTTTGTGATCATCAGATTACTGGTCAGGGACCTCTGCCAAGCATTTATTACTTGCTTTTCAGCTGCTGGACGTTTATTTAATAACAGTAATGCAGAAGCGCCTCTCAGTGTAGTAGACACACCCCCTGCTGTCAGACATGGTCTCTACAGTTCACCCTCTCCTCGCTTAGTGGCCGAAGCCCAACACCAGCACAATGTCTCTATTCTATCAAGCAGAATTTCCAGTATCTGAAAACAGCGCATATAACTCCACTTCACAGAGGAGGTGACGCCTCTGATCTTAATAACTATAGACCATCTCAAAACTGTCATGCGTAGCCCAGATCTTAGAAACCTTAGTGAATGATCAACTCAAGGCTTTTCTGCATAGAAATTCAATCTTATCAGACGACCAACCTGGTTTTAGAGAAAAGCACAGTCTCTGCAGCTACTCTCATCTTAGACGATCTTTTCAGGGCCATAGATAAAAAGAAACATTGTGCAGCCATTTTCATTGATTTCTCTAAAGCCTTTGATACAGTTGATCATTCCCTACTTTTAAAAAGTCTACAAAACATTGGTTTCGATCTCAGGGCTACTAACTGGATTAGAAACTCTCCCTCCGATAGACAGCAGCGTGTGGCCCTGAGACAGAGTAAATCAGAGCTACTACTGGTAACTAAGGGGGTCCTTCAAGGTTCGATCCTTGGACCGGTGTTATTTAATATTTATGTTAATATCATTGCCATCTCACAATACCTACCTGTTGACTGCAGAGTACACTTAACTGCTGATGATCCTGTCCTGCACTGCCTGGCTGACTATACTGGTACTGCAGTGGATAAACTACAGCAATGTTTTAATGTCCTACAGTTGCTTTTTACAGTCATAAATGAGTCATACATTTTGAGAAAACATTTATACTAATATCTATAAAAAGTTTATACTGTTTTCTTGAGCCTCTATTATTGATCTTAACACGTTTAAAATCACAACCCTGGAGGGATCTGACATTGAAAGAGTTAGTATAAATACCTTGTTTGGCACATTTTAAACATTTTTTTTTTTTTTACATTTTTGAAGTTAAATACTTGTAAACTAAAGGGAAAAACTTGGCTTCCTGTATCGAAAGAAAGTGTGTTTCCCACACGAGGAAAGAGATCATTAAAGCAGCGCTGTTGTCTCTCTTGGATTTTGGTGATGTGATATACAGAAATGCATCAACAGCTACTCTGAAATCTCTAGACTTTGTATCCACTCTGCTTTAAGACTCTTTACTGGTGACCCATACAGTGTCCATCACTGTGGACTGTATGAAGAGGTCAGCTGGTCATCTCTGTCCGTGTCGGCTTCTTTTTTAATCTGTAAATCTCTTACTGACCGTACGCCATCGTACATCACAGAGACGCTCAGTGTGAATGATGCAGTTTATCAGACTCGTTCAGTGATTGATCAGCCTTTACTTCATTTAGTTTACTTGATTTTAGTTACATTTTAATATGATTTTGGTGTATTTTAGTTATTGTGTCATGTTTATTATTCTTTTAATTTACTTTTACTTCTTGGTTACTGCTGAGTTATTGTTTTCTATTTTGTATTACTCTATGTATTTTATTAACTATGTATTTTATTTATTTTATTTTTATTTGATCTATTATTTAAAAAGTTATTATGTTTTGGTAATTTCCATACAGACTGATTTTCTGCTGCAGACGACCTGACACAGACCAACTACGTGTCAGTAACTGATTCAGTGTGTTTACACTTAGTAAGCTGAGAAGTGCAGAAAATCTCCTTTAACATGCACACTAAGAGTAATCAGATCCAAAATGCATGTGTAGAGAAACTTAGATGTTACCATGACAACCAGCATCACATGAGTCCAGTCAGAGTGAGATGAGCAGCAGTGAGCAGTTCTTGTGTTTTTAATTACTTTAAAATGATGTCAGACTCAGGAAAACGTCCTTCACATGTCCTTATTAAAGAAGGCCGAGAGGAAGACGTCGTGTTCTGAGACACATAAGCTGGACGTCCGTCCCACCGCCGTCTTTTAAAGATCAGAGCAGTTTCTGCTCCGCCATGCTGAACGGTATAAACTCTCACTATGACGTGACGAACATGATCAGAACGGACTTAAACTTTCTGATAGGGAATGTAATCAGATACAGGCGTTTACACGGATATTACTCTTCTATTTAACAGATTATTTACAGGATTACCCACCTCGATCAGTCGGATAGACACTGTATTCTGAATGGCTTCAATCAGGCTAGTCTATTCCGACTGAGGTGTTTACATGGACATATTAGTCGGATTATTAATGGATTATCAGACTGTATGTACACATGGCTACTGAGTCTGTTCTACAGTTTCTCATTAGGCTGAATGAATAACTGACTCTAAATGTAGGTATTGTGATATAAACTGAGTCTGTTCTACAGTTTCTCATTAGGCTGAATGAATAACTGACTCTAAATGTAGGTATTGTGATATAAACTGAGTCTGTTCTACAGTTTCTCATTAGGCTGAATGAATAACTGACTCTAAATGTAGGTATTGTGATATAAACTGAGTCTGTTCTACAGTTTCTCATTAGGCTGAATGAATAACTGACTCTAAATGTAGGTATTGTGATATAAACTGAGTCTGTTCTACAGTTTCTCATTAGGCTGAATGAATAACCGACTCTAAATGTAGGTATTGTGATATAAACTGAGTCTGTTCTACAGTTTCTCATTAGGCTGAATGAGTAACTGACTCTAAATGTAGGTATTGTGATATAAACTGAGTCTGTTCTACAGTTTCTCATTAGGCTGAATGAGTAACTGACTCTAAATGTAGGTATTGTGATATAAACTGAGTCTGTTCTACAGTTTCTCATTAGGCTGAATGAGTAACTGACTCTAAATGTAGGTATTGTGATATAAACTGAGTCTGTTCTACAGTTTCTCATTAGGCTGAATGAGTAACTGACTCTAAATGTAGGTATTGTGATATAAACTGAGTCTCGGTTGTTTTGGTGCGTTTTTTCTGTAAAGTTTTTCCAACAGTTGCTATGAAAGAACATATGTGGGTGGAACCTGTCAGTTGCAGCACTGTAGCCATGACAGAACATATGAAAACATACAGTGAACCTCTAGAGCTGCAGTCCATTCCAGCAGCCTGATCCAGGCCGGGATTTCACTCAGACTCCCTCCGGTGCTCCGGGACACACAGCTACACCCTGAGCGAGCGAGAGAGGGAGAGAGAGGCAGAGAGAGGGAGGGGGTGGAGGAGGAGGAGGAGGAGAGGAGAGGAGAGCCGGGCACTCCAGCAGAAAATATCTTTGTCTGTAGAGAAGAAGAAGAAGGTGCTCCCTCGTTCCTTTTGTCCTTCATCCCCATCAGCAGAGCGATAGACATACAGCAGAGAACACCCGTCCGTCTGCCCGTCCACCTGTCTGTCCTTGCAAACAGAACCGAGAGAGAGGAGAGTGATAGAGCAGGAGGGAGAGAGGGAGGGAAATAATTAAATAAATGAGAGAGAGAGAGATAGAGGGAGGAGGGAGGAGGGAGGGATGTGCAGCCTGTAGCCGGTGATTTGGGACGGGCTGCCAGGAGAAAGCGCTGAGGAGAGCAGAAAAGAAGAAGCTGTTGGTGAGCAGAACCACTGCACCCACCCATCCATCCTTCATCCATCCATCCTTTCATCCGTCCGTCTGTCCTTCACTCCATCCCTCCAGCTGATGTGATGCTGGTGTCTTTGTGTTTGGGATGCAGCTGACATTGAGCTAGCTAGCACATAGCAGATAGCATCCTCCTGCCATATTATAGCCAACAGCCTCGGCCGGCAACCACGCTGCTACTATACCTCTCTCTCTCTCTCTCTCTCTCTCTCTCTCTCTCTCTCTCTCTCTCTCTCTCTCTGTCTCTCATATTTATCTCTCATTTCTCTCATTTCTCTCTCTGTCTCGTTATTTCTCTCTCTACCTCGTTCTCTGTATCATTCTGTCTCTCGTGCCTGTTCAGCTGTAATTTAACTAAAGGAAAGGTTCTCCTCCTGTGTTTGTGTTCGGTTCTCGGTGGGTTCCTCTGAGCTGCAGATGCATCCTAAGAAGACTAATGGTACGTCGGTTTATGTGGTGTGGTGTGTGTGTGTGTCAGTCACCTGGCTACATGGACATTAGTGGGTGTTAGCAGGTGATAGCACGTTAGCGGATGCTAGCTGTGCGGTTGTGTAAGAGAGTAATGAGGATCTGTGTCTGTGATGGAGTGATGATAAACGAGTGTAGGTGGACTGTTGGACAGAGAGCTGCAGTGTTACTGTGGTCAGTAATGAAGGGACCAGTTAGAGTCACTGAGTGAGATTTACCTCATATACTGAACTGTTCCAGTGTCTCTCTCTCTCTCTCTCTCTCTCTCTCTCTCTCTGTATCTCTCTCTGTATCTCTCTCTGTATCTCTCTCTCTGTATCTCTCTCTCTCTCTCTCTCTCTCTCTCTCTCTCTCTCTCTCTCTGTTGCTGGTGAAAATAGGCGCTCATACATTATTTAAGTCTGTCAAAATTAGCCGTAGAGCAGCAGTAACGGTGGTGTAACTTCACAGCTGCTCTGAAAATATTAAAAATATGAAAATATAAAGCTTGTCTTGATTAAAGGCACAGAGATTTTACATCCTCACAACTTTTTTCCATCTTAAATAAATAAGAGACTGACAGCTCTGTTTAGGACATCACAGATTTTCTGCGGATGGCATCACCATGACGACGTTTACGCCGCAGCGTCCAGCTGTTGGCTTTAACATGTAAAGACAGCTCTACTGTTTCTCCTGATGGTGAGAATTTAGCTGAGCTGTTCATTGCAGTCTCAGAACTTTCTCAGCTTCATTGACTCGAGTTCGGTTTAAGGTTATTTAGCTTTTACCTGCTCTGATTCACGAGGCTAAAACT